TGAATTTAAAACTGATTACTGATTGTCTGAATTTAGCTTTGACTAACTGGTTTTTAATTATTTATCTTTGATTAAAGTCGCAAATGATCACGACGACGGCATCGCCAGAGAGAATACCTGACATTTCTCAGCCGAGTGGTATCGGCAGCGACAACAGCAGCAGCAATCCCACGTCGACGTTCAACCACGTAGCGAACAACGTGCAGCTCAACAGCATCGCGAATGACCAAGGTCATAGCTATTACTGTCTCTAAGGAGTCATTTCTTGGTGTGTAGTGTGTTCGCCAAAATTATTCAGAGAGAAAAAGAAGTAGAGAGCAAACCTCTCTCTCTCTCACGAGGAAAAGAGTTTCGTTAGCACGCGTGTGAGAACAATTTGACTTACATAAGATTTCCCTTCGTGCGAGAGAGATTATTAAAGGCGAATTGATACTATGCAGAGTATAGCGTTGATTCTGTTTGCCAATATATGGTAGTTCAATCGCGTGTCAATATTAGCGATATCACGCACAACCTAACATTCGCCTACTTTCAGGAGCGTCACCAGATGACGACATGATGGACATGATTGGCGGCACCACGATTAATGAATCACCAAATCCGATCCCGTCCGACGGCAACGACGAGGCAGCGATGGCTGTCATCATGAGCCTGCTGGAGGCGGATGCGGGTCTGGGCGGTCCAGTGGATTTTTCCGGATTGCCATGGCCGTTGCCATAATGCATGTGCACTTTAGTCTGCAATTTTAGAATACGGAGGAATGTTTCCTGGTCGAACGAAACGCGCTCGGAATGAATGAATGAGACTTGGTGCTGAAATGGTGCTTTTAAGATAGGATTTCATTAAGTTATGCGAACTATAGCTTCCAAACAAAACTTCTACATCGCAATCAATTACCTATCGTTCTTCATTGATATCGTGGATTCGTAGTCCTATATATATATGTTTATATGCTATCCCTGCCAGTAAATATTAACTAACAGTAACGTAACATTAATGTCATAATTTTACAGTCAACAATATAAATATATTATAACACATATTATACATAACAGTTACATTGTTGAGTAAAATTATAACGTTATTATGTGTTATTGTTAATTGGTATTTTTAAGAAGAAGCTGGACTTCCTCTATCTCTTGTCGTTGATTTTTCAAAAAAGCACTTTTGTGCGGTGAAATAATTTGCGTTTACATCAGCGAGAAACAAGTGAAGATTGACGAACGCTCTCAGAGATTACAGTGATGTGACAATAGTGTGGACAATAACGTGTGAATTTTTTTTTTAAAGAGCATCTTTCCTTCAATACAGCCTCTCTATAAGGATAAGAACTTTCAGAAAATGAATTTCGAAAAATCAGTCTCTTAAAGAGGTATACATAGGGCGAGAGCTGAAATCCACCGATTACACAACGAGTGTATATAATTACTCGTCGTCTCAATAATCGAATGCGAATAACTATTCTAGTGTTAAATTGACGTTATACGTGTAAATACGTAGGCATGCGTCGCATTGCATGCGCGATATGCCGTTTAAGTGTACCTAATTAAATAAAATCGTAGGAATATCTGTATATGCAAAGAAAATAAATTTTAACTCGATGAACGTACGGAACAAGCAAAGTTTACCTGTTATGTGTGCAAATATGAATTTCCAAATGCATTATCTATTAGAATATATCAGTAACTGAATTATACGATTCGCTGCAATTTAGCATTCCTATATATATTTCATTTCGCCATAACGTCTCAAATCTATGCAAAAATATTATAGTAATATTTTTTAAGAGAGACACGAGTGAAATGTGGTAAGATAGGAATTAATGTAAATAACATGACATACTGCTGTAATTTATTGTTCGATATTAAAAAAGAAATAACAAATATTTATAAGATATCTTGGTATCTTACATTTGGTATAAATAAATGATGATAAATCTCTTGTGTATGAATTTGAGCTAATTGCTGTGAAAACTTCTTTCCTAATACAGTCTCAAGATATACGATATTTTGAAATGGAGGAAGTCTGTTGTATTCTCAAAGAGTTGAAGTTAAAATACGCTTTAGGTCATCAATTAAAATTTCTATTAAAAAAACAAAACAGACTGAAACATGGTAACAAATTCGTATTTAAGGAGTTAAGTTCACGATCGAATTAAGAGAAAGAGTGTATTTTTTTTTAATGTAACATATTACGTTTTCTACATTAATTGCTATTAATGTATGAGCTCTCAGGTGAAAAATTTTTTTATATACAAAAACGTGAAAGAGATTATTATTATTATTTATATCAATGTGTACTAATGAGAAAATTTCAAGTATAATATGTACTCCGATATGCAATGATTTATCAATATTCAGATAAATCGTCTAGATATTAACATCTAGATATTAATATCTTCTAAGTACAAAATCGTTGTTAGATGTTTAATAAAAAAAATTCCTCATAACTGCAAATACCGCAATCTATAAATAATTGTTTTTTGGATACGTTATTCTTCTAAATTATTTGAAGAAATATTGACATTTGATACAATATGCTTCTTATATGTATGTTGCTCTTCTTCATATTTAATATAGAGAATGGTATATTTCCTGTATTGTATTAACTCTTTTCTTCTCTTCTGTCTTTAATAATACAAATTTTTTAAAATTTCTTTACATATTTCTTCTTTTTCGTCCGTTTTAATAATACTAATAGAATGGAATTTTCTCTCTTCACACCTTTACATAACTCTGTATATTCATCTAAAATTATATCATTACTAAGTAGCGATTTTTTTTATGTTTTCTTGCTTTTTTATGTTTTCTAGAGACTATCAGTGAAAAATGTAAAAAAGTCCATCAGAGCCTACATCAGCTATTCGGATGCACAAAAATTCTTTATTTTTCGTGTGAATGTAACAAAACAAATAAAATATAATATAGCGATTCAACCCTTCAATTCGGGTTTCCTTATCAATATAAAATATAAATCGAAATTACATAAGTAACACAAATTCCAAGTTAATGATTTCCGACAAATTAGTTTGTTCTTCTTTATCCAAATGCCAAATTAGCTATGTAATGAATAGCTCAATGATTACATTATACAAAATTATTACATTATACAATAATAATATAAAACTTACATAAAGAAAAACCGAGGTCATATGCATTGCGTCACTACGTAGAATCACATCGCTCATCAAATTGTGAGATTTGCTGTGCAGTCATTCAAAAGAAGCATAAAACGAAAATTAGAGAACCATTAAAATCACTTGTCCGATCAATTTTCGATTATATCCATTTACATGTAAGCGTTTTCTCGCGGCTTCACGAAAAGGGCTTGTAGTGTCGACAGTCAGAGATATAATGAGAGTCAAAATAATAAAATCAAGTTATTGAAATAAAAATAAAACTAAGACCAAAAGAGGGTAATACCAACGTCACAATTCAGTAAACAAATTCATATATAGGTCCAAAGAATACGCATCATTCTGTAAAGTCAAACTCTGTTTCTGTTTTATATGCATCGCTTCCGAAATCAATCTTTTATTAAGTACTTTTTCTTCGTCTAATATCTTGACATTTTCCCAATCAAAATCATGCTAATGACTGATTCTGTGTTCTGTTATTACAGAATGCACGGTATGTGTATTTTGTGCACTAGGATAATTGCGCAATATTGTCCAAGGCCTTCTTATTCATAATATTTGCAAAATAATATATTAGTTATTATATATATTTTCTCAAAATGCAAGCAAAATATTTTAGATAATAGTAAGATGAATCAATTGATGTAAAAAAATATCTGTTGCTTTTCAAAAAAATTATGCAATTCACACATTTGCGCAACACTTTTTTATTTGATTAACCTAATATTGATAAAAAATCATACGGTCGTATTACCGACTGTTATCGATGATTGCGAATTAATAACAGGTATATATAATCACCGACGATTATTATTGAGTTTTAAATATATCCACTAAACTAATAAATCATACAATTAGTACAATATTTTCAGTTTTTAACTCTTAATTACTTCAATATTCACAAGGACGCCAACTCTCCTAAGAATGTCAGTCTTTAATAGTATTTCGTCGGTGATATAACACAGATTTTTACATAGATACTAAATTGACATTTTTTAATAGCGCGCACTAATTCTAAATATGGCGGTGTTCACTTGAGTACTTTTACAATTTGACTACCGCGCTAGTCGGCAACAGTGATGCGCTGTCATGAAAAATAACCCAGATCCTCATGCAACAGCGCTTTGACATCGAACGATGATTGGTGAAAATGGGGGGTAAATTTTACTCCACAACCTTTTCACCAATCAGCGCTCTCTATTAAAGCGCTGTTGTCTATATGAGGATCTGGACTTATTCTCACACGGAAATGTTTGCGCATGCGTATTGCGCCGATATGATGTAAAAGCAGCCAATAGGAAATTGTAACAGCATCTTACGCATGCGCACGAATAATTCCCACGAAAATTTCTTAGGCTTCTCTCTCGTCTCTCTCGTTACTCACTTCACGTAGAGATCATAAACGAGTCGTATGTATGTACTGTCATAAGTTGAGAATATACGATTATTTGACGATTGAGACGAAATTGTTTGTTTTATTACAAGTTGTACTGTACGTCATATAAGTAGAAATATCGTATGTGGATTTAATTTTTACTACCAGTCGCTGTTGTTCAGCAAGATGATTTCGAAGAAGACCATAACCTTCGGCAAGATAAGCGCCAATTTAGATAAACCGATATCCGAGGCATCCTTCGAAACTTCTAGTTCCGGATTTGGCATTTTCGGCAAGAAACGCGAAGAAAATAATGTGAAGAAAATGGACGAAATCAGGCCGGAGGACGAGGAGGAAACTCGGAGTATACAGAAGTTGATGGGCATCACGGGCTTCGGTAAGAAAGCCAAGTCTTTCGATGTGCAGGAGATGATGGAGAATATCACCAAGACTATCAACAGCAATAAAGCAAGCACGGTCGAACAAGAAAAATTCGACGAAGTTGCAGAATCCAAAAAGGACGCGCTGGACGACGATGACGACGATTTTATTGGTCCTCCAATACCTTCGTCACCTGTTACTTCAGATGCAATCAAAGATTTAAAGGAGGTAAGAATTTTTTGTAATTATTTTTTAGAAATTTTATATAAATTTTTTAGACTTTTTCAGAATTTTTATATAATTTTATAAATTTTTAGAAAATATTTGAATTTTTTAAGTATGATTTGGAACTTCTTATAAGAAATAATAAATAAAATGCCAATTTGAGCCGACACTAGTTATTAGTGTATTTTAATATCATTTATTCAAAGTGAATATTAAACATATACGTTTCGACCTACGATCAAGATCCTCTTCAGTACAATACAAAAAAATATATTAACAAAATTATATAATAAGTGCATATGAGTATAAACTAATAACATAAAAAGCGAGAAAAACGTGGTGATGTCCCAGTTAATCTTGATCATTAAATTATTAAGTTAACTATTGAAAGAAAAATATTTTTTGTTTAAAAACGACCGATCCAAAAGGTTAAAAATAATTTAAAAAATGCTAATATGAGATTATACGTGAAAAAAGATAAAAAAACTTACATGACTGTCAAGATTGAACTGTTTTTATAAGATTTGTTGTACATGTTCCATTAAACTGTTTCATTTACTGTGTAATACAAATGTAAATAAATTAAAAAGTTAATATAAATAACAGTAAAAATCCAACTTTAGTTCACTTACATGAAACAAAATTTAAAGATATTAGACACGACATAACTGTTTGGTAGACAGATGTAAAATGAAAATTAAGAGAAACAGTGGACAACAGAACTTCTGCTTTAGCAGAAATTGTCAAATTTGAGACTTTTTTAGTCAAAAAATAGCTATTAACTGTAGAGCTGTTTGCTAGAGGTAAACTCTTATTAATGATCTTATGTAGGAAAGATGCTAAATTATAGAGTGGACTTCCAATCGATGAAACTATAACCTTCAATGGACATCTAATTTTGTGGATCTTAGGTAAACCATAAACTAGTGGTAAAATTAGTGTGGTACAATTTAAATTGTTATAATTATAGTCCGAAAGGTATCCATAATGCTTTCAGCTCTTCAATAATAATTTTAATTCAGTAATAATTTTATTTACTAGATTACGTCTTAAATTTTCATATAGATATTAGAGTCTGTGAATAACAATTCTATTTTATGTATGTGTGTACTCCATGTTTATCTAGTGCCACAACTACATTGCTTTTGTCCGCTCGTGTGAAAATAATGTTAGGATTGTCATTAAAAAAGCTTTTGTTGATACAAGGAGAGACAGAATGTCATTTTCAATATTGGTACATTTAGAAACATGCTTTATGTTTTTTAGTAATATTTTATTTCTCATTTCAGTAATTTTAGGAATTTTAAGTCTCATAAAATTATATTCAATGTGTTTAACAAAGTCAATAATAATATTTATTATATTATAATTAGGAAGAGAAAAATTTTCACCTAATTGCAATAATGATTGTACTTCTTTAGGTATTAAAATACTGCTGAGATTTTTTAATCAATGATCATCTCAGTAATTTTATTACTGAGTAATTTTATTATAGAAAATTATTAAAAATATTGAAAGGAAGAATATTTATGATACTTAAATTTAAATAACATAATTCATGTTGAAGAAATCTACGAAAATTAAAGGCGTCTGAAAGTTCCAATCTTATAAGAAAGTTAATATGTTTTTTAATATTCGCTTTGATTTTATTGTTTCTCATAAAAAATTAATTCAATTCTTCTTGAAATATATTGTTGAACATGAAAATCTAAAAAATACATATTTTAACAATATATTTCAAGGAGGATCAAATCAGACAGTTGTGATAGATATCTCTTGTTAGATTTCCTACGAAACTTTATATCTTTTTTAGAATTTTTCATATGTGCGAATTTTCAAACATTTTATAATTTCTAAGATTTTTTATTGTATAATTTCTGAAGAAAACTTATAAAATCTGAAAAAGTTTAAATTATTTTTAAAAAATCTTTATAAATTTAAAATACAACAAATATTAAAAATATAAACTAACATGAGAAATTTTTTTACCTTAGAGCAAGAAAAACGTCGACGATGACGATGATGACGACGATGACGATGATGACGATGACAAAGAATCATCGGATTCCGAGGAGGAAGAAGAAATAACATTAAGGGACAAGATTCCTTGTTCGCATGAAGTCTCAATGACTCATGGCACTAAAGCGATAATTGCCATCGCTGCGGATCCGTCCGGAGCTCGATTAGCGTCTGGATCCGTCGACTACGACGTTTGTTTCTGGGATTTCGCTGGTATGGACACATCCATGAAGAGTTTCAGGACCTTGCAGCCCTGTGAGAATCATCCCATCAAGTGCTTGCAGTATTCCATGACTGGGGACGTGATATTGGTGATCTCAGGAGCGGCGCAGGCGAAGGTCTTGGATCGGGATGGCTTTGAGAAATGCGAGACCGTCAAGGGTGATCAATACATTACGGACATGGCGCGTACAAAAGGCCATACCGCTAGTCTGAACAGTGGCTGTTGGCATCCGTTCATCAAAGAGGAATATCTGACCTGCTCTCAGGACAGTACCTGCCGAATATGGAATTTATATAGGCCACGCTCGCACAAGAACCTAATAAAGTGTAGAGCCCAAAACGGCGTGAAGACTATTCCCACGACGTGCGCCTACAGCCGGGAAGGCGCGGCTGTTGCGTGCGGCTGCATAGACGGCTCAATTCAGATGTGGGATCATAGGAAGAATTTTGTGAATCCGTCCCTCGTGTTACGAGGCGCGCACGCACAATCTAGTGAGATATCGAGCTTGAGTTTTGCGTACCTCGGACAAATGCTGGCAAGCAGAGCTTGCGACGACACTCTGAAACTGTGGGATTTAAGGGCGTTCAAAGCACCAGTATTCGAAGCTAAGGAACTATACTCACGTTATGATACCACGGATTGTATGTTCAGTCCGGATGACTCGATGATCGTCACGGGAGAATCTCTAAATAAGGGAAAGACGACCGGCAGGGTACTGTTTTACGACAGTAAGACGTTTGATCTAGTCAGAGAAATCCCCGTGACAAATTCACACGTAATAAAAACTCTATGGCATCCGAAATTGAATCAGGTATTTGTCGGCTGCGGCAATGGCACAGTCAAAGCGTATTACGATTCCAAGAAGAGTTTAAGGGGCGCCAAACTGTGCGTCGTCAAGACGCACATGAAACAGAAGCACATTGAGATAATGTCCACTCAGCAAATCATAACGCCTCATGCGCTTCCTCTGTTCCGCCAAGATAGGCCCAAGTCGGTTCGCAAGCAGATGGAGAAGGACAGGCTCGATCCAGTGAAATCGAGGCGTCCAGATCTGCCTATCACTTCTGGGCAGGGTGGTAGAGTAGCATCCTCCGGAGGAACCCTTAGTTCTTATGTCATACGCAATCTTGGATTGAGCAAACGGATAGAGGACGATCAGGATCCCAGGGAAGCTATTCTGAAGTATGCAAAAATAGCTGAGGAAGAACCATACTGGATCGCACCCGCTTACAAGAGGACACAGCCGACAACGATTTTTCAAAGCGATGATCAAGATAGCGGGCCGAGTAATAAGAAACAAAAAACATAGATTTTTCTAATCTTAAGAAAACTTGGACGTATATTTATCTTATATATCAGCATTGTGTAATTATGTATCTATGTACAGTATATATAGCGAATTAATGTAATGTAAAAGAGAATGTAATTTTGTTATGAATATGCTATGTGATTATATTGTACATCCGACATACATATAGCGAATTAATGTAATGTGAAGGAGAATGTAATTTTGTTATGAATATGTTATGTGATTATTTTGTACATTTTATTTTTATTTATATCTTACTCATTTAATAGATTTAATTTCATTAATCGCATATAAATTTTTAATTTGTATGATCAAATGACTCATATCTGATAAATATTTATTACATGTATGTTTTCTATGTGTTTTTATAAATGAAATATAAAATACAAAAAAAATATTATCTATTATAATAGAAATAATACATGTAACAATCTATTATTACATTTGAATAAAGTTCACAAAATTGTTCAGTTTTTGGAAACTATTAGCTATATGTATCTTATTGAAAAGCGAATCGGTTTTTTCCTACAACTATTGCTTAAAAATTACACATACAAATAATTTCAAAAATTATATGAAAATATATTTGACCTAATATATATGTTTACTATACTAATTATAGTACTTATTTCCGATCTCACACCTTACGTGCTCGACCACGCCAATTTCTTGCGGATCGAACATAACACGAATGGAAAATCATAATTAATCTCTCATCGCGTTTTGACATGATTTATAATATTCTGGATTAATGGGAGAGGTATATGATTATTACAATTTACTAAAATTTATATGTTATCTAGAATGTTTCCATGCTCCCATATCTCTTGATATACGCCTGACGTCGAGACTATCGACAGCCGGGAGGCCGAGAAAACATATTTCGGTCACTCGACCGGCTCGACGCTTGCTTGAATGACAGCAAGGTTCTCTCTCATTCTCAGCGCGCCGACAAGGCAAGCAATAAGAACGTCGTGCAAAAAGGACAGAGCGATATAGTCGGCACGCTTCTAACTAACCAAGTTACACGGACACGGGCTCATGCTCATGTGTCATCGTTTGCGCTAGGCCGCTGATCAGTGGCGCTGATCACGTGCTGTAAGCGGTTCGGAATTCGCATTACTGAGACAGCCTATGATCACGTGATCCGGCATGAACCTAACTTCGTATAGTCTAATCCAACAATTTAACATTCAACGTGGAAATCGGATTTAAAATTTGCGACGCCATTCGAATGGTTGGAGATAATATTTGCGCAGGTTTTCGCAATATGACGATAAAATAGTTATACGAGTCGTAGCTGTAAAATCTCAAGCATTCTCGAATGGGTTTTGAGTTGTATATATATAACCACATAAATATAACCTAGTTATTTTCCATTGTGTACAATACGCTTCTTCACAAAAACATGGCCAAAAGAAAATCCTTAAATCGTGTATCCCGACGATACTCCAAACGTAGATCCATCGACTCCTTGGGTTCTGGACATCTCGATCCTGATACATTCATCGTGGATGAAGGTAGGAATATCTTTACTTCATCATTTCGCTCATTTGCTATACGACATAACTAAAAAAAATTATCATTTTTTTCGTTGCTTGCAGAAGAGAACAGAAAATAAACATTTTAAAAGAACATACTTTTATTTTACTACAATTATAATTATTACGTTTATTTTATATATTATTATTGTGAATTATTACATTGAAATTATATTCCAAATTTAGTATTGTAACATTTTAATAACTTCAAATGTTGAAATTGATTTTCTGAAAATTTTATTTCTTAAATTATGTTATTATACCAAATAAGCGATTTCGTTTTAGGACATTACCTTTGTTACAGAAAAATTAAAAGTCGAAGAGGTTTTAATGTAATTTTAACATATTCTTCTTTCTGCAGAACAAACATTTTGGTGGAATAACTTGGAAGAAAATACATTCCCTCCACATTCCATGATTTACAGTGAAAATGAAACGCCTAAAATGCTGAATGCTAATTCGAGGATTGATTCTAGCCAAGGTTCTGATCCTACAGAATGGTGGAAAAATTTGGACTCTGATTCTGAATCCATTGCTTCAAGAAGGTCGAGGCGTAGTGCAGGTATAAATAGAATATTTAATTTATTCTTTTTAGTTTTCTTGAACTTCTTTTATGGTTTAGTTTTTTTCTTTTTTTCTTTTCAAGTTGAAGAGTAAAAAAGAAAAGTGAATTGTGCAAAAAGTCAGCTAAAAGAATAAATCTTTCAACTCTCTGTCTGCAATTTGAATCTTTTTTGATGCAAGCGAAATTTCACTCAGATTTCTCCAAATTGAAACAGGACAGAGTTCTGTACCTCCTCTTAAAATATCTTCTTAAAAAACTTTGATAATGTAATAGAGGTGTTAAAAAATAATCTTGAACTTTTTCACATTTTTTGAAAAACTAGAACAGTAAAAAGAACTTTGGTTGATTGGAGGAAGTAAAACTATTATATGATTGCAGATGGAGTTTGCATTATAGATATTGTAGTACTTATAAGATATATTATTATTTTAGCAATAGTTAAAAGTCGTATATTGCAAACTTCGACTGATACATCTGAGTCAGAGAAAGAGCTCAATTTAAGAAAAAAGAAGGTTCATTTAAAAGCAAGTAATAGGAAGAGTATCAACAATGTTTTTGCAAGTGTTTTGAATGATACCGAGACAACTACGCCATTACATATTGATTCAGATAGTGAATCTTTACAAGGAAGATCGCAGGAGAATGAAGAGGATAATAATTCGAGTTCGACTTCGAAGATTTTGAAATCAAAACCAAGTATTTTTAAAACAAGAAGAGGTGGAGATGGTATGAAAGATCAGAACGCTTTTCAGGATGTACTAACGGAAAATAATGTTTTGAATGCCAGCACTGCGAAAACATCAGTCGCATTTGAAAAGAAATCTTCGCAGCGTTCGATGCACCGGAATATTAATACGAGTAAAGATCATATTGACGATCAAAGAAAATCAATAAGAGCGCTAGAGGATATTGAAACTGGTTCCTTACTTCCAAACGTTGAGAAGGCAGTGTCTGAGAATAATGTTGAGATTGAAAGTAGCGATGAAAGTATCGTTATACATCGTCAACGTTTAAAATTTAAGTCTCGCTTTATGCAGCAAGCGCGGAAAAACATAGAAAAAAATGCTTTTGCAGATGTTCTAGTTGATGATTTTAGTAACGCAAATTCGTCTACATCCAATTCAAATAAGGAAGAAAATATTCATAGATCTTTAATGTCACGATCATCTTTAAAAAAATCTAATGCCAACAGCAATATGCCTAAAAGTTCACCAATTCGTAAAAGTCCAAGATTGTCTTTAAATATATCTAAAAAGCAGCAGTTAGATGTATCGGTAGAAGATAAAGATAATATTGAATCAAGTTTAAGCAGCTCATCCTTGGATAACGATGAATCTCGCGGAATAAAAAGGTCCGTATTTTTGAAGCCAAAATTAAGAATTCTAAAACATATCCGTAAGCACTCAACTAATCCGTTCGAAGAAATTTTGAAGCAAGATAATATCAGTGATAGAAGTAATGTTTCACTTGAAGATAATCGTGCTTCTTCTGAGCGAGAAACTACAACAAGTATTAATCAGAAACGTGAAGCAACACAGAAAAATCCACAATCAGAAAAGAGTAGTGCTACAAATGAAGAAAATTCTTATGAAATATCTCTCGAGCTGTCGTCAAACGTCGAGAAAAGTCGATCTAAGGAATCTAATATATTATTGGAAGATGAGAATACACTATTAGAAAATAATGGTCTCAATAATGCATCAAAATCAGTTTCTCGAAAGAGTGTAATAGATAACTCATCAGAAGAAAAAATTTCCAACCTCAAGTTCATTAAGGAAAAAACTTTGAAGGAATCCGTACATGCAAATGCAACGTCCGGCGATAGATTAAGTACTAATAAGCTAGTAATACAAGATGCAAGTGACGATTCACATACTGGCATATATGTAGAACGCGATGTAAGTACAGCTGAATCAAGTTCTGATAAGGAATTTGGTTTGACGCGTAACAGTTTAAGAATTCGGTCTGAAACACCTGTGAATATAGAAGTACATGAAGCTAATGATAATTTACACAATGATGTAAACAGAGAACATGATTCAAGTACGCTCAAACGATCGTCTAAAATAACCCCTAGTAAGGAAGCTCGTTTGACGCGTAATAGTTTAAGAAATCGATCTGAAACACCTGTAAATATAGAAGTACATGAAGCTAATGATAATTTACACAATGATGTAAACAGAGAACATGATTCAAGTACGCTCAAACGATCGTCTAAAATAACCCCTAGTAAGGAAGCTCGTTTGACGCGTAATAGTTTAAGAATTCGGTCTGAAACACCTGTGAATATAGAAGTACATGAAGCTAATGATAATTTACTCAATGATGTAGACAGAGAACATGGTTCAAGTACGCTCAAACGGTCGTCTAAATTAACCCCTAGTAAGGAAGCTCGTTTGACGCGTAATAGTTTAAGAATTCGGTCTGAAACACCTGTGAATATAGAAGTACATGAAGCTAATGATAATTTACACAATGATGCAAATAGAGAACATGATTCAAGTACGTTCAAACGATCGTCTAAACTAACCCCTAGTAAGGAAGCTCGTTTGACGCGTAATAGTTTAAGAATTCGGTCTGAAACATTAAAGCCTGCGAATATAAAAGAGCATGAAGATATTAATAATTCGCGCAATAGTACAAATAGTGAACATGATTCAAGTACGCTTAAACGATCGTTTAAATTAACTCCTAGTAAGGAAACTCGTTTGACGCGTAACAGTTTAAGAATTCGGTCTGAAACACCTGTGAATATAGAAGTACGTGAAGCTAATGATAATTTACACAATGATGTAAACAGAGAACATGATTCAAGTACGCTCAAACGATCGTCTAAAATAACCCCTGGTAAGGAAGTTCGTTTGACGCGTAATAGTTTAAGAAATCGATCTGAAACATCAAAGCCTACGAATATAGAAGTACATGAAGATATTAATAATTCGCGCAATGATGCAAATAGTGAACACGATTCAAATATACTTAAACGATTGTCCAAATCAAACCCTAGTAAGGAAGGTCATTTGACGCGTAACAGTTCAAGAAATCAATCTGAAATATTGAAATCTATGAATAAAAATACGGAAGTCTCTAAGCGGTCTATGAATTTTATTTCCAATAATGATGAAGACTATAATATAAATGTTGACTCGGAATCAACTACAGATAGTACAGTGTATCTAATAACGAGAGCAGATGTAGAACCTGAAGTTAACACAAATATAAGAATACAGAAAAGCACTAGTTTATCAACTGAAAAAGAAATAACTGATGACGAAAATGCAGAGCCTGCGACGCAAACAATTCAACGAAATTCCTCATCGACAAAGTCTGCAACAAATAATAAAGTAAATCAATCTAAAATACCGAAACCTACGAGTAAAAATATAGAAGCCTCTAAGCGATCTACAAACTTCGCCGATATTGAAGAAGACAATAATATAAATGCAGATTCAGAAACAAGTGATAGTATATCGCATGTAACGAGAGCAGATATACATTCTAAAGATAACACAAATAAAGGAATACAGAAAAGCACTATTTTATCAACTGAAAAAGAAATAATTGGTGATGAAAATGCAGAACCTACGATACAAACAATTCAACGAAATTCTTTGACGGAACCTGGAACAAGTAAAACAATAAATCGGCAAAGCATACAGAATTCAAATAGGACCAGCATTAAGGACAGAGAAATTGCACATAGACAAAAAAGTTTGGGCAAGTCTCAAAACTATCGCAATACGCCGACTAAATCGTCAAGTAAAGATATTTCTTCCAATAAGCAAAGTTCATCTAAGACAGTGAAAAAAATAGATGATTTTTTCATCAAAGTAAAAGAAACTTCGACGAAACAACTAAGCGAACGCGCGCAAAAGTCGCAAGTCTTCGACAATGAGAAAATGAAGAAGATTAAAATGGAATTGGAGAAGCTAAAGAGTCGCGAGATGGCTACGATGAAAAGAAACTCGATCGATAAGAAAGCATCTGCAGTACAAAAAGAAAGAGTAAAATTTGATATACCTAAACAAAATACAAAGAAGAAGAAGCCGCTCATGAATTCTACGAAAGTAGTGGATAAGGCATTTCTAGTATATGGAAAAGTATATAGGGCACCAAGACTTCCTCGTCCGAAACATTGGGCTACAGATCGTCTTTACAAGTTTCTGTGGAAACGCTTGGAGCCAAAGTACAAACTAGCCACGAGAGTAAGGTCCGAAAAATTCGTGCAGGAATTAGCTACGATAGTAACTATTATTGAGCGTCGTAAGAATTATGAAAATTATAAGACCGAATTAAAGGCTCTGATGAAGGAAATGGCTCGTTTGAAACTTATCAATACTCGTATGGACTTTTATCATTTCTGCCAGGATTATTTACCATATGAGTTTCGTGTTAAAGTTATACCTATGTCATTACCCGGCAATGAAAGAAATATTCCCTTCAATTCAAAAAATTTGCACACTCCTTTACTTGATACCGAATGAGTAATCGTTGAAAATGTAATTACAATACGATAGAATATATTAATTGTTTATTTAAGCTATGCGTGTATAGCGTGGGTGATTTCATTCTTTGAATGTTCATACATGTATTCAATAAAAATTAATATTATTTCGTTACTTAACACATATATAATTGATAATATATATTTTTGATGAATACAAGTAAATAGAGTTGAAAGGTATTGATGTTATATATAATCTATAAAAAATTTATGTAAATTAGAATACGATTTTATGAAATAATATTAAGAAGACATGTAAATTAGAATATATGATTTCATTAAACAATATTTTGATATTAATCAATAAAAGAATTTTTGCAGCTTATATTCTCTTGATACTTCATCACTTTTTGATATTTTGTTATTTTGGAATTTTGAAAAATAAAATCAACTGCATCAGTTAATTTAACTTGGTCCTAATTAAACTTAAATTTAATTATAATCCCTTACCTTAAATGAAATTAAAAAAAATAAAATTAACGTTTTTAAAAATAGCATGAAGTTATATTATTTCTTTCTTCTTTTCTTTCTATTAATTCTTTTAATGAGTAACACTATGCTATTTTTTAAATCTTTAATTTTATTAATATAAATTAAATAATGTTGAATCAATCCATTAGAGATGAATCTATACGAATATAGATATTGGTGCGAAAAATAAATTTTTCATATCAATATCCTGTGTTTGGTTCTAAAAGGCATCATCTCATTGACTGATTAAATTTTATTTCTTATTGTGTATAATGTATATGTATAATATATGCATAATTTAAGATATATAATAATATGTACATGTATACAAACAGAAAGAAGAGGTAAAAATTATTTGCTAAATCAATATGTCAATAATTTAATGTACATAAATTGTAATGACAATTTATTAGTTGAAAATTTTATGTAGTTATAATTAACTATATAAAATTTTCAACTAATGGATATTAAATTGTTATAATTAAAATATAATGGATATTAAATTATTGATATATCGATTTATTGAACTATTCTCTTTTTCCATTTGTACGTATATATTACTGTATCTAAATGGTATCATCGAAATATAATACCTAAAAAACGATTCTAACTATAATATTAAAGATAACTTAAAATAAAATCTCAAAGACGTCATATAGAAGACTAAATATCTTAAAGATGTCATACGAATCTTTTCTGATAGTTTTATGAGATATCTTCGAAATTTTAAGACAATGTTCATACATGATTTCATAATGTTATAATTTTTTCTTTGTCGATATTTACACTATCATCTTTCTGTTGATACTCCGTTTGGCATATTCGAAATGTAAATCATTCCCACATCTTTGATACTTGATACTTTGATATTCGCACTTTAAGCGATCAGTATTGCGTGTTTATTTACTTATTCCGGTTTACGTACGCATCGTTTGCATAGCCGTGTTATATATAGACCTATTGTGATATCTCTGCGATTATAAATATCTCCCTAATCTCATTTACTCTGTACGACAATCTTTTTGCCCGTAAACATTTTTGTTTTTCCATGACGTTCACAACAGAAATTATGCTGCTTCATGACGCGGATGGATAGGACAACATTAGACAAATTGTCAAAGATCGAATATCTATAATGTGTAAAATTACAAATATTATTAAAGTCTTTCTCTTAGGAGTAATTTAATTTAATAAATTAAGATTTACAAATTCTTTCTAATAAATTTAATTAAATTAGAGCTAAGAAAATTTTTCGAACAATTTGAATTATTATATTTAATTTAATTTTTTAATTTAATTTACTTTGCGAAGCTCTGTGAAAAGACTACATGTTAACAGATAATAGATTATAATTATATTATTGTAGCTTTTCAAAAATATTGTGACGAATTGGAATAAAAAGTTCATGTTCCACATTGTAGAAAGAAATGTCTTTGGTGTTTTTAACATATTTAGAATTCACTGTCTTTATAATTTTAATAAAATTCTTTTTCAAAAGAATAATAAAGATAAATCAATTTTTTATTTATCTGCTTAAATAAAAAAAATTGATATATATTAATCGTCAATTAATCGACAGTTCTAGTGTTGAGCTCACTAAGTGCTAGCAATCATCAGTTCTAGTATTCTAATTATACAAGCAAATGTGTCACATTCGTTGCGTGCCATGACCATGACGCATCGATTTTTACAAATATTTGCGACAAATCGAATATCGCATTGACGTAATGGTGCTCATGCAATTCGTGACGCGTTTGATAACGAAATTCGATGATAAAACAAGTACCAGAAATATGTTTTGTTTCTAATTATTAAATAAATTTCAAATTTTCATTTTAATATCTATTAAAAATTTTTTTTTCAAAAGATATTTTTTTATAAAAGGTTAATTTTTTAAAAAGTTAATTGATCGCGAGATACATATTTACACACAAATGCAAATTTTATTTGGAGTCTAATCTCTATAATAGAATCTTCCTACTGATCACCTCGATTAAATTTATTTTTACCGGGCCGCAATATCTGAACGTGTATTTTTATTTTAATATTTATTTTTAATTTTTTTAATAATAGAAAAAAATTTTATTATCAAGTTGGAACAAAAGTTTGCAGTGCTTCACTTATACCATCTCTACAAATTTTTAAGAAATATTTTTTTAAAAATTTTGTAATTATACTATTCAATAGAACAAAGTCTCAGAATTTGTTTTTTAAATTGTGGTGCATTACACGATGATATTTTAACGATATTTTGAGTAATCAAAGTTAAATAAAATGCTCCTTTTATTTAATTTACAATGATTTAGTAACAAAAAATGTTGGGAATATTTAAAAAACGAGTTTTTTTTTTTCTAGGAAAAGCTTTAAGCTTTTACGTTAGAAAAATTTTCGTAATTTTTTGGATACTTGATAAACCCACAAAATGAGAAGAAAATTCCCCATTTTGTCTAACTCATAATTTTCTACATTTAAAAATTATCAAATTCACAGGAACTAAATAACATGGTAACATTTCGAAAGTAGAGATTTTTATTCTAAAAGCTCTTTTTTATAATTTAAATTTTGTTTATTTTTAACGAAGTTGCTTGAATTTTGAAGCAACGTTTACTTTTGTTCTAATTCAATACTTAATTCAATTTACATCCAGAAGGGAGTTGGTTTATTTTTATTTAATTTCTCTTAACCCCCCACATTATATCCATCCATATCTTCTATTAGTATATAATTAACTAAAATCCGCAGTTAAATTATATTGTTATTTTCTAAATCTTCTCTTAAAATTTATTTTATACGTTTATATTTCGAAAGATAATATTTCTTAAGGTTAGTTAATTGCGAAGCACACACATACGCATACACGCACACACACATATATGCATACAATGCAAACCTCGTTTGAAGTCTAATCCAGTCTAATCTTTATAATGGAACGGCCGCCTCAATTAGGCAGGACTTATTTTCGCCGAGCCGCGATGTTTGAGCGCGCATTTGTAGCCACGCGTCACCGCCACGCGCCGCTCGTTATACCCCGTCAGCGATGTCGATTGTTTCCCCTCAACCGCGCGAAAAAATGATTGCTCTAAGTCCGCGTCACCGAGCTGAACGCGTTGCAATAATTGCAACGCAGTGAGTGAATCACGAGTGAGAAGAGACGAGGGATTTACCTCCGCAGAATCTCGCGATCATTTTGCGTCAGTATTCGTGATGCGATACAACGTAATGCGAATTACGTAATTCGTTTGACGAACTAAACAGGAGATGAAGTACGCGAACGTATCATATTTTCGCTTGGGGACTTGGAAAGTCTGATTCATTTCCTTCACAATTTTTAAATTTTATCCAGACAAAGTCTAAAATTTCGGATCACGTCTCTAAGACTTGAGTCGACGTATTTCTTCTATTTGAAAACGTCAGCAACAATTTTCTTTATAAAGGAAAACTAAATCAATTTATCTACCAGTAATCCAATTTATTAAAGAGCATTGTTGAAAGAGTAATCTCTTGATTTACACATATAACATATAATGAATTATTGTCTTTTAGTACTAAATTGACCAACATTAACTTTTCGTATTATAAGCACTGAGCCTTTTTTGAACCATATTTTCTTTTCAAATTTCTTAGCACAAATTTCAATTTTTATTAAATAAAGATTTTAACGTTTGAGTTAAATGGCTATTTGGCAATGTAACAGACATGTTGAAAAGTAATTCTGAATTTTTCTTTAGATTTGAAAAAAGTAAAATTTAAGTGGTTCGTATCTTTATATTACTATTGATTTTTTTTTTCAAAAAATTGCTACATTACAAAATTTTTAATCCAAGTTTATGTATATTATCATGTTATAAATATTTAATTTACGCGCTAATATCCACAGTCTCGCGCAAGCATTTTATTTGTGTTTGATTTAGTTTTAGAACTACTATATAATATTACTACTTTATTTTATTTTTTTTTTAAATATGAATTAATTATAAAATATGAATTATAAATAACAACAAATAAAATATTTGTAAGAACATTGTTTAACATATTTTCTTTCTTTTTTATTTTTAATTCTATTTTTTATAAACTTTTAAATTCCGTCAAAAACCCGCAATAAAAAGCGTTACATTAATTAAAATCTTTATTTTCTAAAAATATTGTCATATATAAGCTACTTTACGAGTTTATTTCGTTTAATATTTGTTTCCATTCACTTTTAAAAAAATGTGATTAAATACATATTTACAATGTTCAAATACTAAATATCCGAAAATAATCAATAATATACAATACATTATTAAAAATAATAATTTAAATGGATATAAAAGCATCTCAGATAATTATTTACGTAAAAAAATTAGGTGACTACATTCGAGTTAAGACATCTTTTAGACATCTTATAAGACTTATGTTCCGATTTTTGGACTTTGTGTTGTTTGGCCAATGTCGCGAATATCAGGTTCTATCTGTTTACGATAAAATGTCTGTTCAATAGGACATAACCGTCAGCTCGAGCTATCGCAATCTCGGGAGAGATTTCTCGGAACCGCTGAATGATTAACTAACCGGAGTACATTCGCGATTGCAATTCCTTGATGGAGGGATCGAGATGGTGGAGGATCCTTTCACGATCGGCTCGCGGCAACGCACTCTCGTATGTTATGACAATTATGAGTTTTCCGTAGGGCCACTCGGGGGTGGCACGTGGCCTGACGACGTGCGTATCGGTGAAGCAAAGGGAGAGACACGCACGGCGCGTGCCGCCGCGTGAGAACGGCCGCGCTCACACGCGTCACACGCACACGACACGCGCACGTGTGTGCACGCAGTTGCGAGAGAAGGAGAGACAGAGAGAGAGAGAGAGAGAGAGAGAGAGATGAATAAAGCGCGTGGGCTCCCGGGATTTACTTGCGCTCTCGTACTCGACTTCTCGGTGAAGCATCGATTAAATTTCATTCACGTACGCTCGCTCGTCCATTTACGTTATCACTGTGGTCAAAGAATAATTTGTTATTTGGAGGCGTTTTTGTTAAAAAATGATTTTGTAATTATTAGGATATTTCACATAAATATAATATTTAATTCTAAAGGGCGTGCAAACTGTTCGTTTAAATCTATCAACAGTATTAATTACATTTTAATGAAACAAGAAGGAAAGAGATTATTTTAATGTCCATTTTTCGGATGTATTGTATTGTACAGTACATCTATTGTTGCGAATGAACATGAAAGAATTAATGATTGCGTTTAAAGGTCTCGGCGAAATGTTAAATTATTTAACCTCTCGATACAGGAATTGTTAATGGGTAAACCTTTTGACATTTCGAAATTAAAAAAAAAAAAATACTGAAAAATGGACAAACAGAAAATGAGAATTATTATAAAACGAATAAAACTCCTTAATCCTTTTTAATTAATAGAATAATAAACTGTATAAAATTATTGTCAAAAAACAACGTAGAGATGCATGAAAAATAAATCCATAGCAATTCGTTGAAATAATAAATGCGATATGTCGAGTTAAATAAAAATTTAACAAAAGCCCTAGTAAATAAATAAATCGGTACACGCTACACATTTTACATCGCATACATATATGATTCGCGTTTTATGCTCGAATATTTAACGACAGCGCGAAATTATTATGATAAAACGCCGACCGCAAAATGAATCGGCATTTATCGCCGTCCTTTAATATTTCATCTTTAATTTTCCTCCCCGGCGAATTCTCCCGTTTTACGTCTGACAATATCTAGCGAAACATTCTTCATATTTGCATATGGATACGTGTGGTAGTGCACGTGCGTACACGCGTACGCACGCGCCATGCCGACTCGTGCTTCGTCCTTATACTCTTTTCGCGTACTACAACGCGCGTTTACGCAGCACAGGTGTATAAATCGGAACTATTCGATAAGTAATTCATAAACAACGATAAATAATATGTACGGATAAACGAAAATTAATTAAATCTATGCGTTTAATTGGAATAATATTGAACTTTGAACCTTTAGACTTCTGATGTCGTCAAGCCACATTTTCTCAGATTTAATGTTACGTAATCGCCCGGAAAAAAATTGTTTTATA